GTCACATATAGAAACAAATTAAGTTATAACTAGTTGCCAACAGACCATACCAAACCAATCTTATTTCATTCTTTGACAAAATGACTAAATTAATAGACCAGCAAAATGCTGTGGAGATAGTATAGTTAGACTTTAGCAAGGCATTTGATAAAGTAGACTGCAACCTACTTCTTGGTAAGCTAGAAAAATGTGGGATAGATAGCATTACCAGCAAATGGATTTGTAACTGGCTGACAAACCATACTCAATGAGTAGTCCTTAATGGTATTACATTTACATGGAGGGAACTAAGTAGTGGGTACCACAAGCCTCTGTCTTAGGCTTAGTACTCTTCAATATCTTTATAAATGACTTAGATGAAGGAATAGGAGAACTCATCAAATTTGCAGATGACGCTAAGCTGGTAGGAATAACCAACATCACAGAAGACAAGCTCAGGATCCAAAAAGATCTTGACAGACTTGAACAATGGGCTCTGTCCCAAAAATGAAATTTAATGTGGAAAAAAAAGGTTTTACACCTGGGCAGGAAAAACGAAAGGTATAAGTACAAATTAGGCAAAACCTGGCAAAAAACAGTAACTGTGAGAGGCTTGGAGGCTTAGTGGACAATCACTTAGTGGACAATCACTTAAACATGAGCCAGCAATATGCGGCAACAGCCAAAAAAGCTGATACAATTCTTAGTTGTATAAACAGGCATTGAATCAAAATCATGTGAAGTATTAGTACCACTTTATAAAGCCTTAGCAAGACCACATCTGGAATACTGCATCCAGTTCAGTTTTGGTCACTACATTACAAAAAAGATGTTGAAACTTTGGAAAAAATGCAGAGAAGAGCAACTAAGATGATTAAAAGCCTAGAGGCTAAAACATGAAGAACAGTTGCAGGAATTGGGTTTGGCTAATCCAGTATCTGAGAGGTTGCCACTAAGAGGAGTGGGTCAGTTTATTTTCCAAAGCACTAGAAGGTGTTTTGGAAACAATGGATGAAACTAATCAGGGAGAGAAGCAACCTGGAATTGAGGAGAAATTTTCTAACAGTGAGGACAATGAACCAGTGGAATAGCTTGCCTTCAGTTGTGGATACTTCAACACTGGAGGTTTTTAAGAAGAGAGTGGTGTTGTGGTTTGCCAGCAGCCTGTGCAGACAGCAGTGGTATCAGACAATGGGGAAAAACGGGGACCAGTCCTAGAGTCTGGGGAGGACACGGACGGGGGTCCTGCATCCGATGCAGAGATGGGGCCAGGACCATCTGGGAGTTGTGTGCTGACTCCGGAGCCTCCAGAGCAGTGGTAGTATTCAGCCGGTTCACACCAGATCGGGCAAACCGGTAGCAAGAATTTGGCATGGGTTGCCGAACCGGTAGTAAGTTCTGGCTGGCCAAACCCTCACCCGGTCGCCCTCCCGCCCAATGCTCGCTCACCCCGCCCGCCTGCTTGACATTCTCCTAAGGTATTTCTTTCTTTTTTCCCTCTCCTGACAATCAGCTGTAGATACGATCAGCTGTGCCAGGCTTCCCCTTGCTGAGGCCCAGGAAGGCAAAAAATGGAGAGAGGAGCTGAGCCCCCCCCCTCCATTTTTTGCCTTCCAGAGCCCCAGAGGAGCCTTAGGGGAGCAAAAACACCCCCCAAGGCTCTTCTGAGGCTAGGAAGCTCCCAAAACAGAGCTTGGAGGGGTGCTGCGTGCCCCTCCCATGCTCTGTTCCTTTTCTTCCTGAGCCTTAGGTCCTGGCCCCATCTCTGCATCGGATGCAGGACCCTTTAGGGGAGCAAAAACGCCCCCCCCCCCAGAGGCTCCTCTGAGGCTCCCAAAAACAGGTGGGGGCTGCAAAAAAAGGCCATGCCCACCCAGTCACATGGCCACTTCCACCAAGCCATGCCCACAGAACAGGTAGTAAAAGTTTTTGAATCCCACCACTGCTCCAGAGTCTGACAGCAGCGAGTCAAAGGAACAAGGGGAGCCTGTTCCCAGTGTGCATGTGCACAGAGCTGCTAAAAGGCAAGAGCAGCTAAGACAAAAGGGGCGACTCGGGAGTAAGGCTTGGAGCAAATTGCCCCTCCCCTAATGTATAAAGGAAGTGGAAAGGTAGAGAAATCTTTGCAGGAAGCAAAGTTGCTCACTCTGTTCGGATTAAACCTGGAAGCTCTGTGTGGATTTTGTACTTCGGTTGGTTTTTGGCACTTAAGTTGTTGGCAGCAAGTCAAAGGAGATAAATGTGGGTGCTTATCTCAAGACACTGTTTGAGACTCATTATGGCTGGGAATGAACATAATTCCCAGCGTTGAAATAAAACAAGAGTTGTTTTGGACTAAGCGTGTGCTTAATTACAGTGTCAGGAAGCCTTGGTCAGAACAAGTGGACAGTCACTTGTCTGAAATAGTATAGGGTCTCCTGCTTGAGCAAGGGGCCATTTCAGCTCTATTCTGATTCTGATTAGACTAGCCAGACCCAAATTCTGCAACCATTCTTCATATGTTTTAGTCTCCAGGCCTTTAATCATCCAGGTTGCTCTTTGCTTCACTTTTTCCAAAGTCTCAACATCTTCTTTTTAATGCTACCAAAATGGGATTCAGGATTCCAGGTGTGGTCTTATTAAGGTTTTATCAAGCGGTATTAATGCTTCGCATGATTTTGATTCTATATATTTGATATATTTGATTCTATATATCTAAAATCAACCGACTAGGAACAAAAATGGTCATATGCAATTTTGGCCCAGGAGGATTGGCAGAATTGCCATTTTTAGCCCCTGCAAAAAATGTTTTTTTTAAACCAGTTAAATAGGAGATTTTGAAGAGGTAAAATTGCAGCCTGCTTTTCTCCTGCTTAAGCAATTGATACAAATGGCTTGAGTGTGATTTTAGCTTCTCAGCTGTTCTTAAAAGGATAACTGGTTCTTGACCAGTTATTCCTAGAATGTTGTCTGACAGCCGGGATATTTTGCACACAGCAGCTGAGCTCAGCCAGAATTGACACACACACTTTCATGTAACATATTACTCATCTCCTGCCAACTGACAGGTTTCTTCACTGGGCTCCTGGAGTGTATCTAATGCCCCTGTTCTCCACCGCAAGAGCTGACCTTGACTTGGCCTGAGGCAAGGTCAGTTGAAATGCAAACACATCATTTTGAGGAGAGGCATTGCCTTGATAATTCTAATGTTTACCTTTAAAAAAATAAGAAAGAAATCCGTCAACAGCTAATATATAAGTCCTCAACTTATCACCAAAACTGAAATGTGAATTTCCATTACTAAGCAAGGGGTTTGTTAATGAGTTGCGCCCAATTTTACAACCATTTTTGCCAAGATTGTCAAGCAAATCACTGCAGTTGTTAAGTGAACGTGCAGTTGTTAAAACGCATCTGGCTTCGCCCATTGACTTTGCTTATTGGAAGTCACCAATGGCAACCGCCTACCTCGGAGATGCATCATAAATATATGCTGGTTTCCAAGTGCCTGAATTTTGATCACATGACCATGGGGATGCTGCAACAGTTATAATGTGAGGACCACAAATAAGTCCCCCTTTTCAGTTCTTTGAACGACTGCTAAATAAATGGTTATAAGTCAAGAATTATCTGTAATTTCTGGGTTTTGATGCTATTTCAGAGTTGTACCAGCTGCAGACTTGATTCTGCTGAGAACTGAGAGTGGCTGAGTAAAGAAGAACAATGTTACTTTAACAGAATTTGGGGGGGGGGGAGATAAAATTTAGGAAATATACAGAGTGATCTAAATAAAAAGATAGACATTCACTAAGAAAACTATACCTTGCTGTTGCCTCCCATGGGCATTTTGATTATCAGCCTTCCCAATGATCTTCAGATGACATTTTGGCTAAGATCTGGAGTGGATGATTTGGATTAGTAGACACTTCCCTGCTTGTGATCTAGATAATTAATCTGCCAAACAATCTGAGTTGCTTTTGTCTCCCCATGTCTTCTAATAAAGTTGATGGAAATAAGTGTTTAAAAAAGACATAATAGTAAAAAAAAAATTGCTAGTCCTTTCCATCAAGTGCTGGGGCTGCTTTTTTCTTTTTTCAGATCATCAATCAATTATTGATGTATTAGTTGTGACAGGAAGTGACCCAGCAGGCCATTGCCCAAGCTGACATATGTAATATTCAAGGGGTGTGTGTGTGTGTACGTGTATATTTAATCAAAGGTGTAGCCCAGTTTCTTCGATCACATCACTAAAAACCTCCCAGTTTGCATTTCCACTATTCTGCCCATCCTGCAAGCCCAGACTTTGACAAATTTATTGTTTTGCTTGAACGGGTGGATACTTTGGAAGCGTGTCTAGCATCCCTTGAAGAAAAGGATAAAACACAGAAAAGTGAAGCAACAGTATCCCAAAATCATGACACAGCACAACAACCCAAGCCATGGGAAATCACTAATCCTGCGAGTAACATCTCCATTCTTGTCAAAGACGTGATTGAACGCAAACTGAACTGTCCCAATGCTATGTTATTTGGACTGGATGACACCAACGAATCCGATGACATCACAAAAGTTTGCAACATCATCAACAACTTCCAGGCATCAACCATCACTCGCGATGAAATCATCAATGTTTCCTGCAGCGGCTCCAAGTTCAAGAACACGTGGCCCCACGTTTCTGCAGAATCGTTTGCAAGACTGAAACCAGCAAATTCAAATTCATTTAATTTCAATAAACTCACTCTCCAAAAGCTGCACAAACCATAGGAAACTTCGTTAGTGGCCCAATCTGTCCATACTGCAACGTGCCCGCATCCGCGAGTTCCGCTCGGAGCTCAAAACACGGCAGGACCAAAGAGAGACTGACCTGTACATAGTCTACTGACACTGACTGTCCCAACAACCACCACCCCAACAACCAAAACTAGGCATGTATGCCCCCAACTTCCTCCAGGTCCACCCCTACAGGCCTAAAATGCAAGCTACTTAATGCAAGAAGCCTCACAAGCAAAATGCCTGAATTCCTCCTGCTTCTAAATGTGGCCCTATTAGACCTTTTTGTCTGCAAAACATGGTTGCATGTATCCTTTCCAGACTCCATTATTACAGTAAGTGACTATCATGTTTTCCGGTCTGACTGTGATAATCTAAGAGGGGGATGTTGCTATCTTCTATAAAAAGTCACCAGGTCTGAAAAAGGTAAATGTTACACAGAAGCTTGCTCTTCCTAAGACCATTGTCTGTGAACTGTCCCTAAATACCACAGTTCGCTTCTTGCTGTTATAGAGTCCCTGATTATGACCTTGGTCATATGAACAATTTACTACATATTGATTTTACAGTAGATAATGTTGAAAAAGCACTACATAACCTAAAGTCAGCTCTGTCTATGGGCCCTGTGCCTACTTTTTGAAAAAGCTTGCCACTGCCCTAGCTGAACCTCAATGCACAATCTATGAGGTATCCTTCAGAACCAGCTCCTTGCCCGACCTATGGCCATTAGCCATGGTTATACCTACTTTTAAAAAGGGAGGCCCTAGTCTAGTAGAAAATTACAGACCAAGCTCACTGTGTTGTATCATCTGTAAAGTTATGGATTCAATTATAAACCAATCCATCACCGTCCACTTAGAGACAAACAACTTGCTATCTAACAAGCAGTTTGGTTTTAGAAAAAAAGTTGTCCTGTAATCTGTGACTCCTACACTGTAGAAACATTTGGATCACACATATTGACCAGGATAAAACAATAGACACAATCTACATAGACTTCTGTAAAGCCTTTGATTCAGTGGTGCATGACAAACTACTGTTGAAATTAATGTTGAAATTAAGTTTTTACGGCATCTCCGGATCCCTCCACAAGTGGATTGCCACGTTCCTGTACAACAGGCAACAATAGTCAAAATAGGGAGGGCCCTATCAAATCCGGCACCAGTTAACAGCAGTGTCCTCCAAGGCAGTGTTTTAGGACTCACACTCTTTCTGCTTTACATCAATGACCTATGCGATCATATTAAAAGCAGCTGTGTCTTCTTTGCTGAGGACGTAAAATTATTTAACACCACTGACAAAGCTGCTGCCCTACAAAGTGACCTTGTGTCAGAATGGTCACACATTTGGCAACTCCAAATCTCAACTAATAAATGCTATGTCCTGCACACTGGCAAAAATAATAATAATCAGAACACCGAACACAAGTTGGACGGAAATGATCTCGTAGACGACCCTCACTTTGTCAAGGACCTAGGAGTACTCATCTCAAATGATCTAAGCCCCAGAGCTCACTGTAACAGCATTGCCAAAAAGGCATTAAGAGTTGTTAACCTAATCTTGCAAAGCTTCTTCTCTGGTAACATTGCATTGATAACTAGGCATACAAAACCTTTGCCAGACCAATTCAGCTGAATACAGCTCATCTACCTGGAATCCACACTGTATTTCGAACATTAACACGATTGAGCGGGTCCAGAGGTCTTTCATGAGAATAGTTCTCCACTCCTCTACTCACAATAGAATCCCTTATGCCACTAGGCTTGAAATTCTGGGTTTGGACAATCTGGAACTGTGCCGCCTGTGGTCCAATCTAAGCATAGTACATAAAATTGTCTGTTACAATGTTTTACAATCTCTTCAGCTTCAACTACAATAATACATTGGCAAACAATAGATACAAACTCAAGGTAAACCACTTCAAACTCAATTGCAGAAAATACGACTTCAGCAACAGAGTGGTCAATGCCTGGAATGTTCTACCTGACTCCACTGTTACAGCCTCAAACCCTCACAGCTTCAACTTCAAACTGTCTATCATGGACCTCACCCCATTCCTAAGTGATTCATAAAGGGGGCATGCATAAGCGCACCAGCATGCCTACCATCCCTATCTTACTATCCCCATTTATCTGTACTTACTTCCTTTGTTTATGTTCATACCTATAGAGTGGAACCTCAGGTCATGACCGTAATCTGTTCCTGACTTCGATCCACAACCTGATTTGTTCGTAACTAGAAGCACGATCGTCTGCACATACACAGACAAAAAAAAAATGGTGCCAAAGTGGAAATCGCCATGGCTGGGAAAATTGCTGCTGCTTTGTCTGGTCGCCACCCAAAGATGTGTTCATGGCCAGAAGCAAAACTTTTTTGAAAATTCTGGTTGTCACCTGATTTGGTCATGGACAGAAGCTTTTGCGACCCAAGGTTCCACTGTACTTGCTCTCTTATACATGTTTGACAAACAATAATCTATTTATGTCTGTCTGTCTGTCTGTCTGTCTGTCTGTCTCTCTCTCTCTCCCTCCCTCCCTCCCTCTCCCTCCCTCCCTCCATCCCTCCATCCCTCCCTCTCTCTCTCTCTCTCTCTCTCTTTGTTACCTATCATTATCTGTTTGTCTACCTATCTTTGCAATAATTGGATATGGCTAGTCTAGTGAAAAGAAGGACTGGGGTGATATGAGAGCAGTACTTCCAATATTTGAGGGGCTGCCACAAAAAAGAGGGGGAGACTTATTTTCCAAAGCATCTGGAGGCAGAACAAATGGAAATGTATCAAAGAGAGATCCAGCTTAGAATTAAGGAGAAATTTCATGGCAGTGAAAACAATTAACCGGCTTGCCTTCAGAAGCTGTGGATGCTCCATCACTGCAGGTTTTTAAGAAGAGAATTGGACAGCCAATTGCCCAGAATGGTATAGAATCTCCTGCTTCAGCAGAGGGAGTAGAAGAACTCCAAAGTTCCTTCCAATTCTGTTATCCATCCATCCATCCATCCATCCATCCATCCATCCATCTATCCATCCATCTTTACCTATCTATCTGTCATCTATCTATCCATAATGAAACTGAGATTGTTCCACTCCCATTGTCAACTCATAAAACATTTTGTATACACGTTTAATAGTTGACAACAGAAAGAAGGGGGGGAGATTTCAAAGAGCAGGAAGTCATGTGGGATCGAAAGTACATTCCATTCATATTTTCTCCAAAGACTGATTAGATGACTGAAGCTTCTGCTGCGCAAAAATCTAATTGGAGAGTATGATTGATGATGACTCTTGGCTATGGACGTTTTTTTTCCATTGGATGATACACCCAGAGGGGGGCAAAGAAGCAGGATCAAGGGTGACAGTGAATTACGTATCTCAGAGTTGGCTACACCCAGGTTAATGCTGGATGTAGAATGTTAACTTCAAATCTTTTTAGTTTTAGGAGTGTGGCTCGAGGCTCATGATTTAATTGGAGTAACTGCGGAATCCTGACACCCATTTTGCAATCTTGTAGTGCTAATTGATTGGAAGAATATGGCAATTAAATAGCATCTAAAAACAGACACTGGTGTTCTTCTTTTTCATCCTCAGAAAATGTATCATGCTCTTCTTACAATCATGAATAGCCAAAGCAAGAAATGAGCATACAGCAGTAGGGAACTTAAACATCATTTGAACCTGCAGATATATGCAGGATTTCTGCAGAGTTTAGACTTATCATAGAAAACAGCAATCTAGTTCTCACCTGCCTTTTCATACCCACAGGCCCAGACTGACAACTTCTGTCATATTTCACAGCTTCTCTGCATAGCATTATTATTTAATTGCAGAAGCTGAGGGTCCTTTTTAGTATAAGAAGCACTATTTGAATTCATATAATGCTACCTTTGGAAGATTAACTTGGATAATGGCAATTTCAGAATTCCCACTGCATACTAGAGATGGATGATTGTGCCAATTTTAGTTTCAAACTTGAACAGTCCTTAGTTCAAACCATTTTTGCAAGGAGTTTACTTTTAGTCAATTGTTTTTTTAAAAAACAGTTGGGACTACTGAGAAGTATAAAATATAAGAGAAAATATTTTTCTCCTTTTTCTTTTCCAAGGTGTCTCTCTTCTAAATTTTTAAAGATAAAGATTGTTCATTGTGTATGAAATAAATAAACAAAAAGTATTTAAAATATTTCCTCATGTACAGAGAGAGAGAGTGGGTGCAATTCTTTCAATATGGTAATTGTTTTTATTTTTTAAATTGCTTTTGTGACTTAACGTATTACATTTCTATCCTGCCCCGCTCAAACAGTGTTCAGTGATTTACAAGATATATGGAAAATAGAACATCCGTGGTAAATCTAAAAAAAGGATCCAAAATCAATAAAGATCTCCCAAACAATCAGATATGATGGATTAAAAACATATACAGGTACAGGTAGTCTTCAACTTACAACAGTTCATTTAGTGATCATTCAAAGTTACAACAGCACTGAAAAAAGTGACTTAGGTCCATTTTTCACATTTATGACCATTGCAGCATCCCCATGGTCATGTGGTCAAAATTCAGGTGCTTGGCAACTGATTCATATTTATGACAGTTGTGGTGTCCTGGGGTCACATGATCCCCTTTTGTGACCTTCTGACAAGGAAAGTCAACGGCGAAGCCGGATTAACTTAATAACTATATTACTAGAAGATTTGTTTATGGATAAAGGATTTTCTGACAGGTAGGTCACAGTCAGTAAGGATGGGATCTCACCATTCTTCTGCTCTGATACTAAGCAGAGTAGGGTTGTGTACTAAGCCCCTTCCTTTATTTTTTGTACACACATGACTGCACCCCATTGTATAACACCAACACAATTATTAAATTTGCGGATATACACAACAATGGTGGGGCTCATTAATAAGAACAATAAGTGTGCTTATAGAAAGGAAGTACAAGGGCTGACACAGTGGTGTAAAGAAGATAATCTTACACTTAACACCCAAAAAACTAAAGAACTTATAATTGACTTCAGGAGGAAGAGGGATGTACATTTACCATTGTACATAAATGGTGAGGAGGTGGAGAGGGTTGGTAGTTTAAATTTCCAGGCACTTATATTTTGGAGGACCTCTCATGGACTATGAATGCTAACATGCTTGTAAAGAAGGCACAAAAGAGGTTGTACTTCCTGAGAATGCTCAGGAAGATAAATCTATCTCAGCATCTACTCCTGTCCGACTACTGCAGCACCAATGAGAGTGTCCTACATATGGCATTCTTGTATGGTATGGGAGCAGCTCTGTAGAGGACAAAAAAGCTCTACAGAGAATCATTAAAACTGCCCAGAATATCACTGGG